AGTAAATACTCTTTTTATCTAAATTTATCACACTAAATGTAGGCAACATGTTTTTAGTGATGAATGCCATTGTGAGTAAAACGTTGCCTACAATTAGGCACGCCTTGACTCATAAATTCATTGTTTTATATTCTGTTTTGAGTTTGAATTTGATTTTATTTTAGATATTTTTAGTTAATTGTCTTACCATTTATTTTTTCTTTAATTTGTATAAAAATTGTAAAGTGTAAAAGTGTCAAGTAATCAGTAAAGTCAGTAGAATTAGATTGTCGACTGATCTGAAAGAAATAAAATCAAAAGAAAGTTACTGACAATATGAAATTAATTGCAACACCGCAGTAAATACTACAACGCTACGTGAGGACATATGAAAGACGATATCACAGCAAATGAAATGACGAAGCAAAAAGCTTTAAATGAAATCTATTTAATGTTTATTTTTATTTATATTTTCAATGTTGCTATTCATTAGATATGCCAACACTTGAAAGGTTAGCGATGGCGGCGACAGCGGCTAGAGAGCAATTAGAGATGCAAGCATTGCGATACAAGCGAACGCACAACCACATAGATAAGTGCATGCATATATACACACAAAAAAAAAAAACTTGCCAAATGCATGTAGGTATATCTAAATGTGTTTCTATGGAATATTTGCACTCTATGCAATGCAATAAAATGTCAGCTCCTGTGCGCGTGTGTGGGTTCAGGCATACGAATGTGTTTGCGAATTGACTACTTTTGTAAAGGGAATTGTCGACATGTGCACGTCTTTGTTTATTTCACATACAATTTCCAATTACATTAGGACGTCATGACACCAGGCCCAGCAGGGGGCGTGAAAATATGCAAAGAAAGGACATGAACACACACTTACTTTCCAGCTCACAAGCGCAGCACACGCCGTCTTCTCAACTAACTACGCATACAACTTGCATGCCAATGCATCAGCAAAATAGACAAGCCAACAGGCAAACCTACAGACAGACGGACTGACGAAGTGAAAACATGAATGACTACAAACACCCACATAGACGAAGAGAGAGAGAGAGAGAGAGACAGTGACTGAGTGAGAGTAAGAAACAAACCGAAATACATTGAATGATATGTGCTTATACAAATACATATTTATATAAATATATTTGTGCATATAAATAATTGAAAGACACGTGAAGCCGCACGTCGCATGTCGACTGATGGTTGCACGTAACGCAATGCAATGACAAAATAGCAGCACATTGCACGCACACATATATCACCAAGTCTTCACACATGAAGTGACGTATGTCAGCAAAAGCGTAGCGTAGAAGTATGTGAAAAAATTTTATTTCAAGTCAAACTGCACACCTCCTCCCACCAACTTCTATAGCGTCATCAACTGACATACGAAAATGTACGAATGAAGCTTTGCGCTCCTATATTTTGCATGTTTGTGTGTGTGTGTGCGATTTTGCTTTTGCAACAACGTCTTCAACGTAGTGTTAACCGCAAATTATTTCATGCGAGCAAACGAAGCACATTTGTAGAACAATTGCATACTTTCAGGCGGTTAGACATTGCTAGGCAGTTATGGCGGTATGTGTTCACTGCTGCACTGTCTTCTAAGTGAATACAGTGAAATTTATATGAATACATGCACGAGTGCATGCAAAAATATACATAAATATACTGGAAAATATACACTGCCAAGCGTAAATATGCTCCCTTATGATTTTGTACGATACAAAATGATTTAGAAAATATTTCTTGCTATGCTGAAAAGAAAAAGCAAAATGAACATTTGAGACTAACAAAGAAAATTTACACAATCAAATAAAATATTAAAAATAATTATTAAATGTTATTATATTTTTTAAATTTATTTTATTTCATTTCATCTAATTTTTCGTTTTTTCATTTAATTTTATATATCTTATTTTATTTTATTTTAACTAATTCCATTTTATTTTATTTTATTTATTTATTGTATGTTATTTCAATTCACATAATTTAATTTTTTTACCTTTTTGATTTTATTTTACTTAATTTGTTTATCTATTTAATTTATTATATGTTATGTTATTTCAATTTAATTTGTTTTTATTTAAATTATTTTTTTTTTTCATTTTTATTTTTTTTTTCTTGTATTATTTTATTGTATTTTATTATTTTTATTTTGTTTTATTAAATTTTATTAATTTTATCTTACTTGGTTTTATTTTATTTTATTCATTATTTTCTTTTCTACTTTGTTTCATTTTTTTATTGTTTTCATTAATTTTAGTTTATTGTATTTTATTTTACTTAATATCATTATATTTTATTTGATTCAATATTATTTTTGGTTATTTTATTTTAAATTGTCTTAGATTTTTTTTAATTATTTTAGTTTATTTAATTTTTATTTTTATAAGTTATTTTATTTCATTATTATTTTTATTGTGTTCTTTTTTATTTTATTTGAATACATTTTTGTTTTTATTTTTTTCATTTCCATTTTTTTGATTTTATTTTATTTAAGTTTTTAAAATTTTTATAAATTTATTTTAACTTTTTCATTTAATTTTATTCTTTTTTTTTTTAATTTTATTTGTAGTAAGTTGATTTTGTTTTCTTTTTAGTTTATATTATTTTATGTTATATTTTTATATTGTTTGATTTTATATTATGTTATTATATTTTACAGTATTTTCTTTTGTTTTTTGATTTTGATTTAATTTATTTGCTCTTGTTTTATTTGATTTTGATTTAATTTAATTTTTTATGATTTGTTTTCTTTTATTTAATCTAATTTAATTATATTAGTTTTTATTGCTTTTTATTTTTTTTTCATTTTATTTTATTTTTATATCCTTTTATATCTTTTTTTTTGTCATTTTTTATATTACTTTATATTGTTTTATTTAAATTTGTAATAAATAAAAAAAAATAAAACAAAAAACAATAAAATGAAATAAAAAAATAAAATAAAATTTAATTAGATAAAAAAATTAAAAAGAAGTTAAAAAATTTTTAATTTTTTTATCTAATTAAATTTTATTTTATTTTTTTATTTCATTTTATTGTTTTTTGTTTTATATCTTTTATTATATTTCATTTTAGTCTTATATTATTTCTTTTTTATTTTTCTTTAGTTTATTTTATTTTGTTTTGTGGTACTTTATTTTTGATCTAATTCAATTGTATTTTGTTTGATTTTTTTATTTCATTTATTTTGTATTGTTTTATTTATTTTTTTATTTTATCTTTCTATTTTTCTTTCCTCTATTTTATTTTGTTTCATTGTACATTATATTTTTTTTTATTAAAATCAATTTTGTTTTTATATTATTTTATTTGATTTAAATTTTTTTTTTAATTTAATTTTCTATTATTTTATTTTATTTAATTTTAAATTAGTTACGTTCCTTTTTTTATTCTACTTAATTTTTTTTTATTTCAATTTATTTCATTTTTCTTTGCTCTTATAATATTTCGTTTAGTGAAGATTAATAACAATGTGTTTAGTTATGTTCGCCAGTGCATTTGTATTTTATACTGTGTGTAGCGACTGGCATTCGCGTTCCGTAGCATAGATTAAGGCGCTCATTCATAAGCTTTTCCTCGTTTTTTTATTTTTAAATATATTGTATTTTATGTAAGACAAAACATGTGAATATGCATTCTGAAAATGTATGCAGCAAAAAAAGAGAAGTAAAATATTCTTTCAGTCCTTAGTAACTCGAGCTCCCTCGCAGTTGCTGTATCCGTTGATGTCGTTGTCAATTGGCGCAGATGAGCTCGGTTTCATATTTATTACATTTGTACGCTATGCGATGAAGCGCCGTAATGCATACGTGTAGAAAATGATGCGAGCATTTAAGGAAATAACTGTAATTTGTGGTGTGCATTGGCATGTAGCTCAAATCGTGGTTAGCAATTTGGTGTAATAAAAGTATTAAAGTTACGAATATTAACTCCCTAAGACACTTTATGACACATTCGGATTATTTTTATAATTTTTCCATTGTATAAGTGAATAAAGTTATGGCGCACATATTTATTTAAACATTTGACATTACGAGCTCTTACAGATAGATACCATTTCTTATGATATTCCCAAGGACGCCTTATCCTCGCATCGCTTAAACGCTACCCATAAGTGGAGAGGATGCCAGCTTAAAGCAAGGGCTGGGTATAACATCGCTCGGAGATTTTTGTTTTTCAAATCATGCGGGTTTTCACAGCAGAATTTTTCAATCAATATGGGAATGTATGCGAAAGTTTTGGGACTATCCTTAGCACTGGAATGATAGCTCAGCCAAGCCGATATATATAATGATATTTTTCATATAATATTTGTGTTTCTAGCTATGCCAGCAGCTCTCCCTAAAGCGAAGACTTTCGCCCGGAAAAATATAATTGATCAGCCGACTCTACCTCCGCTGCTTCTAGAGTTTTCAATAATGCCTTATAGGAGAAATTATTATTATAACCCTACTTATGTCTAGAGAGACCCTTAGGGCGTATTCTCTATGCCCCAGAGTTCTTTCTATTTTAGTGTTTAATGAGTGAAGTGTAGTCCCAGTGGATCTACCCCTTTGATATAATGTCGGACTGTAGCTTATCCCTAATATAAGTGTTCCAAATCTTCTCGAGTGTCTTCAAAAGAAAAGAGGTTATGTATGTACATATATAATGTTCAATGATGAAGAAATGTAAATGAATAATTTGCATACTTAAATCAGAGCTACAACTCATTAAAATACTTAGTAGCAATTCAAAAATTTCATTGATAAGAACTCGCTTGCTAAAAGATAGAAATAAAATATTTTAGACAAAGAGCTAAATATTCAAGCGGTTAATCTACAAATCTCAAAATCAAACAAAGCGCACTCTCATTGCCTCTGAGTGCCAACTCACTGACGTCAGCTACCAAAGTCCAAACAACGCGCTGCGACGCTCCATAGCGATTAGCGCTGATCGCTGAATCGTTCGTGACTCGCTTGCTAGAGGCACTCAACCGCTGCGGGCGTGCGCTCACTTCAATGTCTGTTTCAGTCTCGTTGTGATCGTGGCATGGTGCGCTTCGTTGAAGTAGAATAAATCTCAATATGATCGCACCCGCTTTATATAGCTTAACACGCGCGGCGCGTAACACTGTCGTACAAATACAAAAAGCAGTGCGCCGTCATTTAACCGCTTCGGTTGAGGATGGAAAATATGTTTTAGTGCCACGCGATGGAGCGAGTAAATCGCCGCCGGTTAAGACAACTATGAAATTTCCCAGTGTTTGGCTGCGTGACAATTGTTATTGTGAAAAATGTTTCCATCAAAGTTCGAAGTCGCGTCGCATTGATTGGGATTACTTCGATACGGAGGTGCTAGCGCTCGATGTGCAGGTGAGTCGCCTTTTTCAATGGAATATGTTAATTTAAATGCCATGCATAAATTTTCGATTTTTAATTTATTTAGTTTGACACAGTCACCGAGCAAGTTGTGATCAAGTGGAGTGATCAGCACACGTCTACATACGATCTCAAGTGGCTGAGTGAACGTGAATTCAGTGATGAGCGTAGACAAAAATATTTGAATAGTTTTTATCGGCCGAAGCCCAAACACTGGGCTGGGCAGCAGCTGAAAGAGATAATGGAAACTTTCCAATATCAAGATGTAATGCGGAGCGATGATGGTGAGTTGTGGAAGGGAGAAGTATTTAGATAAAATAAACACAGGAAATAAGTTTACTTTTCAACAACTCAAAGAAATGAAAGCAACAAATTGTTTAGTTAAAGCGGAGCCGCTGAGCAGAAAGTTCAGAAAAGCGTTCCGATAGTCACTTGATATCCAAATGGATATACCAAGTATGTGCCCATCGAAATGGAATACTGATGCTGGTACGAGATAAAGACGGGTTTTCATTACCCCTCTTTCGGATGGACTAAAACAGTGACAGGAAAGTTTTTCTTTGGAATACACTAATCGTGCGGGTTTTCCCATTTTTTCATCAGCTTTACCATAAAAAGACTTAATTTTTTAATTAGGTTGCTCAAAACCTTGATTGAGCGCCCTTAGGCCGTGTACCCTGTGATACCTATATGGGGGGTTTATAGAAGAGAAGCCTTTCACCTTCCTTGATGCTGTAAATACTGTGTTTGTTTTATGAAGAAGTTAAGTCAGTCAGTTAAGCCGCTGCAAGACAGTCAGAGTAGAAATTACATAGGAAATCGGTTCCGGGCTACAGTTAGTGGCAGAGGTGGTACTCCATGTTCGCGTCTTCGTGTGTGGTTTTTCCGGAGCCGTGACAGATATTATTAGTGAAGTAGCCCATTCTTCGACCATGAGTCGCCAACAGACAGTATTAATTAGCCGGATACTCTGTTCAGAAGAAAATTAGCAAAGAGGGTTGGATTGTTAGGGAGCTCACTTGCTCATGTTGACTGCAAGTAGTTCCAAACGAACAGTGAAGTTAGATATGGATCTTTGATCCGGAATTGCTGGGTTTTTCACTCATTCCCCTTTGGAAACTTTACTTAGAAAGAGTTGTCAAAACAGAAAACAAAAGTCTTGTAGTCCACTACTTCCAAAAATGGTGTAGAATGAAATATTTGGGCGTGCCCTGAGTGGTTTCTCCAAGGCTGAACTGCATTTAGGCTTACGCCCTTCGAGGGGTTAAGAACAGATCTCTTGTAAGTCTGTCGGCTGAATTTTTGTTCAGCTTACACCTATACAAATCTTGTCCAATGCCAACCACCAGTCCGTGACTTCAAAAACTAATATTGGTCTTATGACCGCTTTGTATATTCAATATACTATTTGAGGTACTCGCGGGCGTAGAGCGTGATCATAACTCTTTAACTTCTTTACTTGTAGCTTTCCCCTTGAAGTGGACCTCGGATGTTGTTGCTCTTCTTGTAGTTGCTTGCTAAATCCCATCTAGTAGCAGGCATAGTTGGTCTAATTCGTCGAGGTTATTTAATGGAAGTTGTAGTAAACGAGCTGCCTCGACGGCTTCTGACCAGAGGTAAATCGCGCATGTGAAGACTTATTGCGTTCAGTTCATACGTTGCTGTCAACTCTGGATAAGTAGGAGTTGAGTCTACTATAGTATTTAGAACTTAAGTGTACGCGTAACAGCTCGAGCTGTTTATATGTTATGGGCAGGGGCTGGAATCCAAGAGCACCACTGACGACAAGAGAACTTTTAATGGTGAATAATTTCATCTTTTTACAGTACTTAAAGCCAGAGGCCTGACTTGCCGAGCCTACCGCTGACGTGATTATGGTCGGATCAATAATAGAGGGCCAGCCGTTTATTCTCCTTGCAGATGGACTCCAATCTAAGGCGCATCGGAGACACTAAGTGAAAATAGGTCGTTCCCCACCTGTCGCATTCAAGGAAGTGGAAATATTCCTCTTTCAACCGGTGTACTGATAGTTTCGATGCTTTCAAGGCATCTATTTGACGTCGCACATGCATAAAGGACTTTCTGCAAACCTTCCTCTCGAAGACCTTTGAAGACGCACGTTGTCGTGGACTACGTTTCTGTACCGTAAAGATGGAAATGCTGAGAAGCTAATAGACTAATAGTTTATATATTGATTCGCTTGCTTCAAGAACGACCTTCGCTTACAGGCGCACCTCTCATCAACAAACGCTGCGTTCCGGATGCGCGATGTGGACGCAATAGTAGAATTTTCTGTAGACTTGCTACTCTTACTGCATATTCGGATACCATACTACACCCCATTGAGTCCCACGTTAAACGCCATCAGACTTTGCTATTCCACCGAAGCCATTTGACCTTTACCATACAAAATGCCTAACTTTTCGCTTGAAATACAGATTTGATCTGGATTCAAAAATTTGATGTCATAGACGATGCAAACCAAATTTGCCGATTAAAAATGCGGCTGAAAATTGTAGTCATTTTTTTTACAAGGCAGATGTTGGTCTAGCGCTGACTCCAACCCATTAACGATTAGTAAAATTCCTTTTTATAACTCATTTTCTTTTCGAATCACTTTTTTTACACACTTTTTAGCTCTCCGACGCTGGCTCGAGACACTGGCCGTCCGCGGTGTTGCCATTATCGAAGATGCCCCCCTCGAACAAACAGTGGTGAGACAACTAGCCGACCGCGTGGGTTTCATACGACGCACAACCTACGGGTGAGTAGCGCTTCGAAGCCAATCAATAAATAAGAAATTCAATTATGCAAAGAATATTAAATTTTCCCATACAGCGAGGAGTTCATTGTACAAGCGAAGCCAGGCGCTAAGAATTACGCCTACCTCTCCGATCCGCTACCGCTACACACCGACCTGCCCTACTATGAATACAAGCCAAGCGTAAATATCCTACACTGTTTGGTGCAATCACAGTCGGAAGGTGGCAGTAATCTCTTGGTTGACGGCTTCCACATAGCCGATCGCTTACAGGCCGAGCACCCAGCGGATTATCGCATATTAACAGAGACGCTGGTCGATTGGAATGATATTGGCAGTGAGGATGGGCGGAGTTTTCACAATATCTGGCGAGCGCCGGTTATATGGTGAGTGGAAGTGGCGATGTTAGTAAGCGAATAAAATGCTGAAGGTGCGTAGCAGCAACGCTGTACATAGATATTATAAGCAGAAGCAAGCCGGCTGATAAGAGGTAGTGGTGGCCTGGTGCCTGCTGTACTACTAAATCAATGCCCTTTGCTGCCAAGGCGGTCTGCGTCGCGCGCTGGTGGCTTTTAATTTATTTGTCTGGCAGCCAAGGCGTCAATTCCCAAGGCAAACTTTAAATATTCGAAGAAAATCGAATGTCTCGGCGAATTCCTCACCACAGCCCGCAGCGCGCAATGACCAGATTTGCATTGTGCGCTTTTCCCACGCACACACAAAGGCACATACACACACATGCATACATTCATGCACAAGGTACGTCGTACTGCGCGCCGCCTGATTGTATGCAACGAAAATCGATTTTCAATTTTATTTATAGCCTTCAGTCTCGAGTTGCTCCAAACCATGTTGTACCTTTTTCTTGTCGCCGCCGCTGTCGCTTCATTTACAACTCATTTTCTATATTTTTTTGCGCGCGAAGCTCCAACTTCCTGCTGCACCGTTGGCACTCCTGCTACCTCGCGCCTCAGCTACTTTTTCAGCATCTGCCATGTACTCCATTTATTTTACTCAATTTATTTATTTTATTTTTTTTTCTCTCACTCTCTCTCTCTCTCTTCTGCCCTTCATGCTCCACTTATCGCTCCACCTCATTTGCAGTTTAGACAGTGACGGAAATTACACGCGTATAAATCACAGCATTCCCCAACGCGACAGCCATTTCTCCGTTCCACTATCCACCGTCCTGCCCTGGTATCGAGCCTACGCCAAGTTTGTGCGTTTGGCGCGCTGCGACGCTTTTGCATTTAAAACGAAACCCGGCGACGTTTTGACTTTCAATAATATTCGCCTGCTGCACGGTCGCACCGGGTACGATGACTCCGAACAGAATGTGCGGTATATTGTGGGCGCCTACCTCGACTGGGACATCATCTATTCGAAGCTGAGAGTGTTGAAGAGCGCACAGCCGGGCAGCGGTGGTGGTTGCGACGCGGCAGAGTAATACGAGTGTATGCCACTCAACGCCACTGGAGGCCTATGTTGCACCAGCTGGTTGCACAACCACAACATCGACGACCGACGACAGCAACAATTGGCACACTGGCGTTTGGGGATAGGATGTGGCAAGTTGCGGGCAACAACCGGCGCAGCAGCAGGCAGCAACATTACAGCTGCAGCAACAGGAAGAGCAACCAACAACACAGCTTCCGTTTCGTTGCTCAGCGACATTTTGTGGTGCAATGTTTTCTATTATAAATTCTTCTCCTGTTTTATTTTCTTCCGCCGCCAACATAGGCTTCATTATTTTTCGACTCCTCTTTGGCCTTACATTCGTGGTTTTTTATTTGCTCTTGCTTCGTTATTGTGTTTGCATGTCTTTTAGATTTTTTATTGATTTTTAATAAAGTGGCGCTCGACTCAGCGGGCGTCCGGATATTGTGGTGTCATTAAAGGGGATAATTCGCTCGCTTTCACACTTGATTCATTGAATAATGCGAAGCATTTAAGGGATTTGAAGATGAGTGAATGCATATTAAATAATATTCCTTGTAATTAGATCACTTTAATTGTGTATGTAATAATTTTAAGGCAATAAATTTATGAAAAAAAAAAAAAAATTTCTCCTTATTTACAACATGGCTATACAGGGGTTTCCAAAGAGGGGTGTTATTTTGACATTCAATGGAAAATGTCACTTTTTGAGATAAATCTGAGATAAATCATCAGAAATTAAAATCAACATAAAAAGGAAGACATCCCACTAAAAATGGTCTGCTTACGGAACCGTATCCTTTTTATATAATTTTCCATCACCAAATCGCAAAGTGACTGCCCTATGCCCTCACTAGCTTCACGAATTTGATATTTGATGTCCTAAATCGATGTTGGCCTGTTAGCGTAATTTAATGAATTAATTTTCACTAGGCTGCAAAAGAAATAGTCACAAGGGGTTCAAGGGTCACAAGGTCTCGGTGGTCGACTGCGGTCACCTTCTGTCCGGTAACTTTTCCCTTAAACGATCAATGATTTCGTTGTCTGCAACCAGCAAAGACACGACGTTGCTGATGATCGGCCAATTGAGTTCTTGTGTTGACTGAACTTTATAAGCTTTGAGACCAAGCCTTTATCTAAAATACAGTGTAAAGAGGCTTGTGGAATGCCCACTTCAAAAAAATAAAATAAATAAATAAACGAAGAATGGACAAAGATTGCTTTTAAGGTACCGATCTATTCGAAAAATTGTTTTATTTTATTTACTTACGGTCTTGAAGGCCAAAAAAAGCTTATTTTCTGTAATTTTTTTAAAAGATACTAAATAAAATATACAAAATATTTTATTTACATATAGAAGTACAATATGTGGACAAAATTTAATGAAAATTTAGAAAAAATAGTATAATTTAAGCCATTGGTAGTGTCGTGAAGTAGGCCGTCCACAAGAAAGTGCTTTCGCGGTAGTCATGATAACTTTTTTGAATTTTATCTGAAATCCAAAATTCAATTTCTTCTTAAAGTAGGTAAATTTTCCTGGTCTCTGAATGAAGAAAAATTAAAGAATTAAAAATTAAATTTTTTGTAGCGCTTTTTACAAAAAAACGTAATTTTTTGCATAAAATAAGGCCACATATTGGCTTGTAAAATAAAACAAATAATTCGTTCAGGGACTAAACAAATATGCTGAAAAGAGGTTTCGAAAAGTTCAACTCGATCGCTTCAATAGTCGTTGAGAAATTTTGACTGCCGATTTCGATAAAGTGGTTTTAAGGAAAACGCGTTGAAAGTTTCGTCATCGGCCAAGCCTTGACAAAGACGGCGGGTTATAAAACTCTCTTATTTCTATAGTTTCGTTTCGATCGACTTGAAAATTGAGGAAAATATTCCTGACACTTTCAACTTTTATACAAAAATTTATTTGGTTTATCCGAAAAATGAATTTTTTGAAGTTTCAAGACCTATGGGGTCATAGGTGGCTTTTAGCTTAGGCTAACAGGTATACTACTCTTTTCACTGGAAAGCTGGCTTTTTGCGAAGAAAATGTATTTATAGCTATTTTTGCTTGAACATTTTTTTTACGGGAAGTTGATCAACCTTTTGGAAAAAATACAAATATTCATAGTTCTTTTCATTTCAATTTATGGACGATATGCCTAAATATGAGCACGTAATGGACTAGAGACCTGTAGTGCGAGTCAGTAACTTTTATCGACTCGAATTGTCTTTTTCACAACTCACTTTCACAACTCTGCTGCATGACTCTTCACTCTGTTGAGGAGCTTCAAATAAAATAATTGTATCACGCTCCCGGCTACTTAGCAAATGTTGCATAAATCTTGCGATCATGATTGCATATATATGTGGAAACATAATGAACTTTGTTACTATAATATCAATTGGAAAAAAATATAACTCTCACCATTTGCACATTGATAGAATGGAATCCATAGTGGTTGACATAGGCTTTTTCATGATTTCTGGCACTCATGAGGGGCACTTGGGAATAATGCCGCCAACAAATGAAGACCATCATAAGGTGAAAATTTCATTTGTAGCTTGGAAAATCAAATCATCGCTGGAAAATTGAACGGTTGTCGGCTTCTGTTATGCGATGAATACAACGGCTTACTGATGACTGACTCATTGATATTCCATATTGCTCTCCGACAGGACGTTGATAGCATCCAGCTGCAAAGAACCCCGTTGCGATTCGAATTTTTAAACATTTTAATAGTGTTGAAACTAAAAGAAATTATATTAGATCAAGTAAAAACTCCTTTCGGTTTTTTTATTGATTTTTCATAATATCATAACTTTGTGTACATTTGGCCAATTTATTTATACCCTTCTCGTAAAAGGCTGCATCCCTATAGGCAAAAAACTCAGAGAGCCAATTTTCACAGGCCCCTCTTGAGGCCAACTTCTCACCATTAAACGCGTTCGTCATGGACAGGAAAAGCTGGTAATCATTTGGTGCCAGGTCCGAACTATAAGGTGGGGGCATTAGGACCTACCAACCGAGGTCCTGGAGCATCTGGCGCGTCACCAAAGACGTGTGTGGCCTGTCGTTTTTCTGATGGAACACAATTCGGCCTCTGTTGATCAAAGATGGCCTCTTCTGCATGAGTGCTGCCTTCAAGCGGTCCATTTGTTGGCAGTAAAGGGCCGAATTGAGCGTTTGGCCATATGGGAGCAGCTCGTAGTAGATGATTCATTGCCAATCCCACCAAACACACAGCAAAACCTTCCATATTGACTTTTAAGTGAAAGACTTTGATCATCGCAGAAGGAAACCACACGTACAAAAAAGCAGTTAGATCAACAATTCAATAGAAAAACTTAAAATTTGATTACTCCAGCATTATATGACTACAGTGATCAGTATGTCGCATTTTATAAGTGCGATTGGATTACGCTGGATGGCATAAAAAATACGATATTTTGAGTTAAAAAATCAAATTAGAGAAGAGTTGTTCTCACATCTGAGCTATGTTTGGATGGACAAGGAAACCAGTTTCGATTGTCCAGGTAGTAAACATTGCACAGTTCGGAAAAAGGCTGGATTCACAAGGAAGCCCAGTGTATGGGTGCCACATAATTTAACAAGAAAAAAATATCATGAAAAAAAATGTCCATCTGCGAATCGTAACAAAATCGATTCGTGTTTGAAGCGGATGGTGACTGGTGTATGAGAGTGGCTCACTTGCAAGAACCTCAAATGAGAACTGTCCTGGTTGAACGGCAGCGTGCAGACACAAACGGTGTCCAAGCTAGAATTGACAGCCATTAAGGTTTTGTTGTGTGCTTAGCTCCACTAGGAGCTGCTTCTCTACGGATCTCTTATTTCGGACCTGTACTATCAGCAGTTGGACCGTCTGAAAGTAGAAATTGCCCAAAAGCGCACAGTTTTGATCATCAGAAGGGCATTTGTGTTTCATCAGGACAACATAAGACTACATTCAGTTTTGATAACCATAAAGAAAATGAGGAAGCTTGGTTGGAGAGCTTTTATGCATCCACCATATGACCTGGATCTTGCACCTTTTTACTACCATTTGTCACGCACTCAGTAAATGTCTCAGTCCGCGGCTGACTTTCCTGCAATAAATTGATTGCTCCGTTGGTTATCAACATCAACATCCTCCAATACTGGCACGAAAGAGGCTTTCATCTTGGCTCTACGGTTTTCTCCACCGATTGTAACATTACGGTCGGCTTCATTTTGTGAAGGAACATGGACAATTGATTCACTCTGCGCTTAAAGTATACCATACATCGCCTTTTTGAGGTTGTTACGGCGTCTCAATAACGGCTTGTGGAGGATCATCACTCTAAATGCATTCATTTTTGTTTATTACCGTGTTGAATAAACCAAAACTGAACTTCGTGTGAAAATCAGTTTTCCATAAGGTGAATGGTCACAGCTCCAGTTGTTACTCGCGATGGCGCATGGACTCATTCGGGTCTTCTTTATTATACGCTACTCCACAGTAGCAGGAGCGTACTGTAAGGCGTCCCTAAGGATGCACATTATCCAGTAGAGTAAGCGTGGTGCGAAACTGAACAATGGTTGCTCGAATTACCTACACTGCTGGGCGATTAAGTCAACGGATAATGCGTCACGTGAATTTTTTTTGGCAATAAATTTGCAGGATTTGGAGACCTTGTTTCGCAGAGAGCTATGAAAAAGGCATAATTCCAAAAAGAATAAAAAAAATACTCAGAAAACCATATTTCAACAAACAACAATTTCGGATTGAAATTTCTTGGTTTAAACTGAATAAAAATGCGTGAAATTTGCTTATCTTCGAAAATCACAATTCAAACTAAAAATGAACTCCTTTGCAGGTTGGAAGTACTCACCAGAAATGTTGTATTTTTATTTATGTATTCAAACGCACAAATACACGATTTTGCATGCGTTTTATTTGAAATAAAAGGAAAAGTTTTGCTTAATGGACTTTTAATGTACATTTTCAAGTCGTAAAGTTGCAACGCTTTTGAGGGCAATTTTGTGTAAAAATATCCGCATGGAGTGAAGGAATGAGAGAATAAATTGTGCACAGTGAACTTTTTTTGAAAACATTTTTGGCATTTATATAAATACATTTACATAGATACATATGTGTATGTACATATATTATAAGTATGTATATGTATAGTTGCATATACCTTGTAATGAGATTAGTCATTTATGGTTTTCCTTACCACGAACTAACCTACTTTTTATGCCCTGTCGGGAAAACGACTACTTGTTCGCTAGAATCCAACTGGTTCGTTGCAACAACAACACACGGAGGTGGAAATTATTATTAGCCGCGCTATTGGTGCACTGTTATAATGGGTGATCCAAGTAGAGTTACTTTCTTCAGTAGCCTCTTTTTGACCGATCACGCTTGAGTCCTGTTAAGCGGTAATATTACTGTTCTTTCGTAGAGTTTGACACCTTATCATGGAAGGACTTAGACCTGAACAACGTTTACAAATCGTTAAACTTTATAATGAAATTTCACAAACTGTAAAGAAAGTGTTTCGTGCGCTTCGCTCAACTTATGGTCAACACAACCGGTCTACCGAGCGTACTATTGGCAA